TAGGGTGCATAACTGATTGACTTTTAGTTGCTACAATTTCAGTTATAATAAGTCATTAAGTAGTTTTCAATTCATAGGTTAATGAATCATTATTAACATTTATTTGCCTCAATTAAGTAGTTTTCAATTCCTAAATTAATGGATCATTATTAGCATTTATTTTCCTTTATTTAGTCTTTGTAACTCTGATGGCAAAAACTTCTATATAAGTTGAACCATTTTTATCAAAAATATAAGTTGAGTTTTATTCAGAAATATTAGAGTTTAGCTTTTCTTTCTTAGTGAGAGTGATTCTCCTAAGTTCTTGAGGAATTCAAGAATCATTGGCTGTATCAAAGGACTTTCACATCCTTTGTGAGTTGTCTCCCTGAGAAGAGTGAATATTTCCTTCAACCTTTCACATTCACTTCTTGTCATTTCTTCACCAGAACCTAAAATTCCCAATTCTGCCCAAATTTATTTTATGGTCATAACTTTCATTTTACTCATCTAAATTGAATGTTTTTTAGCCTAAATTGAAATTCAAAACAAGAACTTTCACCTCATTTTTTAATCACCTCAATCGAAGTTTTATAGTTTGAGATATCAACGTTTCAAAAATATTGCCCAACCCTGAAACTTTCCTCACTTTCTAATCCACCTTCTCACTAATTTCCTACAAGGTTTTAACCCTAAATATCTTAAGTTAGCCCTTGTGCAAATGAGATTCATATCACCTAGAACTTTATATATCCATATAAGAAGTTTTATTTGATGACAAACAAAGTTTTAACTGGTTGAGATATGTCACCTTTATTAGTTGTTTAACATTAAGTTAGTTCATTAGTTATGATGATACTTGTTTAACTTTTAATATTAAATAATTAGATATAAATATTGTAAGAAAATAATATTTAGTAAATTTTTCTTATTATTGGAAATTTAGTAGATATTTCTTATATTTTAAGAAATTGATAAAGTTGGATAATTGAAAATAACAATTAAATAAAAAAAGGTACACTTAAAAATGAATTACAAAAGGTTAATATGCATTACATAACAAGTTAAAGTGTAATGATTATGCATTACACAAAAGTTATTATCCATTACAGAAAAGTTAAACTAGTCTTTGTAATAGTGATCAATTCCACAATGAGGACATTGTCTATTACTTCCTGGATTTCTTCTTCGATGTTCTTCTTGGAGTGGTTCTTACGGTGGTGGTTCTTGTAGTGGTTGTTGTTCAGGTGGTTCATGGGGAAGGAAGACAGATGAACTAGTTCCTTTATGATGATATTGTGATGCATATAATGATTGCAATATAAGCATGGGGAAGACGAGGGTGTTATAGGATTTTATCCAAATAAATTTGAAAAAAAGTCATCTTAACTTGAAGCAAAAGAAAGGCATATAGGATCCATTGCCAGTTGTGGTAGAGGTGTCCAATAAGAAGTACTTGTGAACGGTTGGTGTGGAGGCATCTGAAATGACAGTTAGTGGTTGAGCCAGTTTCAAATGTGCGTGATTGGCAGCGTCCACTTTGTTGGTTTCTTGGATCTTGAAGTAGTTCTAACACAGACAATAAATAAATGGAATTGAAAGTGTACCATTTCATGTATTCTCTTGTGTGATAGAAAGACCCTTACAATGGTAGACTTATTAGTACAAGGTCTCGTCTGTTGTTTCATATATTATTGATCATTCGGCATGCAAGTGCACAATCGTTGAGCTTGGTGATGACATTGAGTTATTTGTTATGTTTCAACGTTATTCAATCTCAACCTTAAATGGTAGATTTTTTTTTCTCGCCTTTCTATGTACCTGAACCACTACTCAACCCACAACTTGAATTTTCTTATCATCCACAACCTGAATCTTCTTACCACCCTTCACCATCAAACCTAGATGAAAATAATTCTTCCTTTTATAATTCTTGGGAATCAGATCTTCAAACTTACACACAACTCACAGGACCAACCCCACCTTTTAAGCCAACCTATCCAACCCCACCAAACAATTCATCTATGGAAGAACATGTTATATTAGTCCTTCCATCTGAAATTTATGACTCTTTCATCAATGACGAAGATGACATCCTCGTTGATAGTGTAGATAAGGAAGATGATGAGGAACCCCAACTAGAACTTGCCATCGAATCTCCCTAGGTCACTTACAACCCACCCGAACAATTTACCCAATTTCACTTTACCATGAATGGCATTAATCCCGAATTTGCCTATGTTCTTAATTGAGAAACATTTGTATACCACCCTGGGACATTGTTTGTTGGTCAACGCTTTAACAACAAACAAGATGTCATAGGCGCAATAAACAAGTTCCACTTCATGCATCATTGCACATACAAGTTGCAAATTTCATGTCAATCTAGGCTTGTAATGTAGTGTAGTGTATTAGTCTAGAGTGTGAGTGGAGGTGCAAAGTAATATTGTAGACCAGAGAGCAACATTGACAAATAATGAAGTTGGAAAGCAGCTACACTTGCGTGTCCCCATTAATCTCTCAAGATTATAACAAGTTGGGATCGTGCCTTATTTCTCAAACAATCCAAGAAATTGTGAATGTTGATTGTTCAATCCCTGTGTCAACCATAATTTCCTATATCAAGTTTACATAAGGATACACGATCACTTATCGAAGGCATGCTTAGCGAAGTAATTAGCCATTGAGAAAATATGACAATTGGGAGGAGTCATACAAGAAGTTGCCACATCTTCTGAAGGCTATGCAAGTGTATGTTCTTGGATTTATATAAAAATTGAGGACCATGTCTTCTTCAAAAGGGTCTTCTAGTCCTTCAAACCATGCATAGATGATTTTCAATATTGCAAGTCATTAATGCAAGTAGATGGAACATTTCTCTATGAAAAATATAGAGAAACCTTATTGGTTGTAGTGGCACAAGATGATCACAAGAACATACTCCCAATTTTCTTTGCTATAGTCAAGGGGGAAGAACCTAAGGAGACACGTCACCCCACAAGATGGACTATGCCTCATATTTGACCGCCATGAGTCCATACAAAGTGCTTACTCAAGAGATGATAACGGATAGATAGAAAACAATTCTATGCATGTATATTGTAATTGACACATTGCACATAATTTCATGAGGAGATTCAAGAAAAGTTCACTTAAAAAGTATGTTGTCAACATGGGTAACTTCTGTTATTTTCTAAACTCATTATTTTCAATATATTTTAGTTAATTCAAGTACCTAGTAATTGATTTATTTCAATTATTTTGTAAATAACATATGGAATGACTGAGCTCGGATTTTTCTACTATTACAACATAATAAGAAATGAAGGTCTGGAGATAATAAAATGGTTAGATGAAATCTCAAGAGAGAAACAGACACTAGCTTGAGACAATGATCGATATTGGGGACACATGACCACCAACTTGGTAAAATCAATCAATTCGATCCTAAAAAAGATAAGGAACCTTCCTATTTCCTCCTTGGTGACAACAACTTATATACGTTGTAATAAGTTTTTCACTAAAAAAGGTAGAGAAATGGAGGCCATGATTGCTGCTGGACGCATATATGTTGAAGTGGTCGTCAAGGCTTTGGACGATACACGTGCAAAGACAAACACTCATAGAGTGATTGAGTTTGACTTGACGAGTACAAGATTTTTTGTAGAGGAAACCTTCAATCCAAAAAAAGTTAAACTAATAGACCAATTTGTAGTAAGGCTAGATGAATTATGATGTGATTGGTAAATTCCAAAAACTCTATTTACTATGTTGGCACGTAATAACTGCTTGCAAACACGTACTTCATGATTTTATCAACTATATTAATCCTGTTTATACTTTAGTACTAGTCAGTAAGGTCTATGACAGACTATTCGAAGAATTAAGGAATGAAGATTATTAGTCATCTTGCACGGGACCAATTTTGACCCAAAATCAAAAAATGAAGAGAACTGTATAAAGTTGTCCAAAGTCAAAGTGAATGAAAACAAAAATAGACATCACAAAAAAGTCAATCTCATCCCAAACTTTTTTTGCTTTGTCACACAACTGAAAAAAAAAAGTTACTCATCCACAAAATTAATATATTCATTGTATATGTATTATTTCATTATGTTCAATTTAAAAAATAAATTTTTTATTTTATTTTATTTTTTATAATTCTAATATTATCATAACATTTTTTTTTAACTAATCACATGAAAGAAATGTAAATCAATTTTCTTTTATTTTTAATATTACTTAACCATAATAAATCAAATAATTTTAATATATTTATATAAATATAAAAATATTAACATATATTAATATATAATTATATAATTATATAAATATCTAAATATATTAATATCTAATTATATATATATATATACTTATCAAATTATATATATATATATATATATATATATATTTAAATATAAATATATTAATATATTAAAATTTAAATATATAAAAAATACAATTATATCAATATTGAAATATATAAATAATTAAAATATATATAAATATGCAATTATTAAATAAATGTTAATATATAAACATATAAATATTTAATTATCTAAACATATAAAAATATATTAATATAAATATCTAAATATATTCATATATTAATATTTAACTATATAAATATATATAATATCTAAATATATAATTATATATATATATATTATAGATACAAATATTTAAAATATATATAACTATTAAATTATTATCATATATAAATATAAATATATATAACTAAACACTTAAAAAACAATAAAAATTTAAAACGTAGTTTAGAATTCAGTTTTTTTTTTTTTTTTTTTTTTTTTGTTTTTTTTTTTTTGAGGAATCGAATTCTGAGTATATACAATAAACCGGTATATTAAGGTAAATAAGGTGGGAGAGGATTTATTTAAGTAATTAAATATTTTTTTAATATTATAAGGGAAAAAATAATCTTTGTTTTATACGTATATAAAAATAAATTAAAATGGACTGGATTTGTCCTAATTCGGCATATAAGGCGGGAAAATAAAATTATGATTGAATTTGAGCAGAGCGAAAGTGCTGCAGGCACTGTGATTGGGATGGAGAGGATTCACGTCAGCGTCCGTACAAAGCCTCTCTCCCAAGATGATGCGAAAACCAGTCCCTGGAGAATCTCCGGCAACTCCATTGCAATTCCCAACCTCACCAAATTTGAATTCGGTACTCTTCTCGGACTCTCTTTTCACTTTCTTCTTCTTGCAAATCACGTTCTCAACCGAAGTCACGATTCGCAGACCAAATATTCAGCGACAATTGTTCGACCGCGGAAGTCTACGAAGCTCGCACCAAGGAAATCGTGGAGGCCGCAGTTCGCGGATTCAACGGTTTGCATACGCTGCTATTTGCTTTCTTCTTGTTGTTGGTAATTAGTTGGATTTGTTAACTTAGGTTTTGTGATGTGATGTTAATTGAAGGCACTGTTTTCGCTTACGGGCAAACGAATAGTGGGAAGACTTACACGATGCGAGGCTCAGAAGCGGAGCCTGGAGTCATTCCTCTCTCCATTCACGATTTGTTTCAAACTATTCAACAAGTAACTTCTCCTTACTTTCATTTTGTTCTTTTGTGACGAAACCAATACATAAGAGTCAAAAGGCATCAGAAAAACCATTTAAGTTTAATCCAATCGATGAAAAGAATGTTTGGATACACTTCTTCATGCACACTTATAGGGGTAATGTGCTTTTCCATAAGCTAGAATCAACTTATGTACTTAAGGTCTGTTTAGATAATACCAGCTAGAAGAGATTTTGGGGCTTCTCTATTCCAAACAAATAAGCTTTTGGAGAAATTAAACGAGAGAGCTTTTATAAAAGGGTGTGGTGATAACCATAGCTTGCAAACAAAAGTAACAAAGTAAGGGAGAGAAAAGGAACCGCAAAGGTGCATTATTTTGTGTAAATAAACCGCCAAAAAAGTTGTCTAAAAGTGAAACATCACTAGAAAAAAAAGTGGTTGTCATAGAGGGCAAATTAGACATATACACAATTGCCAAAATAATGTTAGAAAACACACTTAACACTCACTTGAAAAAAGAGAAGAAAAGAAAAGGGAAAGAGAAGAGATATAGATATTGAATATGAAATTTTATATTTGACACAAATATATCACAATACATCATTATGATTTATAGGACAATTATAAGTAGTTGGTTAACAACCTCACTAACTAGCTAACAAACATACAATACTAACTGAATTATATACAACAAATAATATCTTTGGGAACAGTTGGTCCATTTGGTAGATACAATATTCAAAGAACCTCATTTTTGGCTCTAGGTGCCATATTACAAGAGAGAAAGTAGAGATACCTTGAGCATATATTCGAATACAATACGAATGCATACGTATATAGGCTTCTTATTGCATTCATTACACATTATTAGAGGGTATTTTGTTCCCCTAATTGAGATATTCATGCCTATTCTTAGAAAGTGAACTTTAAGTCTAATTCAACTTTACAAAATCGGCTTATAATATAAGGTTTACACTCAATTATCTTATAATTTGAACATATCTATAGTTGAGGTAAGATTTTTAACTCATCCCTTCATGTCAAGGATTGGATATCTCGAATGTGGAGCTAGATATTTTGGACGGTTTGATTGTAGCTAGATAGGCCCAACATACTTTGTTAGGATAGGTTTTGAAACCATCTTAGAAAGTGAACTTTAAACCTAGGTCAACCTTATAAAATCAACTTGTATGGTGAAATTTGCACCTAGTTATATGTTATATTTTGACCATAGTTCTAATTGATGTGAAATTTCTAACACTTATTAACTAAATCTATTACGATTTGATTACCAACCAAGATTATTGTACTAGTGTGGACTGCACTAACTGATATAGACTAACAATTATGATAATATTGTTAAATTTTATTATTTTGCATTATGTCCTTTTGATATTGTTCTCATAATTCATGGAATACTATCTCTTTATATTTATTTTAGGATGTGGATCGAGAATTTCTTCTTAGAATGTCATACATGGAGATTTATAATGAAGAGATAAATGATTTGTTGGCTCCTGAACATCGAAAACTGCAGATTCATGAAAATCTGGAGGTTGTTCACATTTTTTATGTATATATATATATATATATATATATATATGCAAGTTTGCTCATATCTGGTGACTGGTGTTATACTTATATTCCTTAATACTTCATATAATTTTTCTCTGAAATCACAGCGTGGGATATATGTTGCGGGGTTGCGAGAAGAAATTGTTGCCTCTCCTGAGCAAGTCCTTAATCTCATGGAGTTTGGAGAATGTAATTTATCTGTTACATTTTTTTGCGGCTTAAATTTACATTTTAACACTCTTGTCAATTTTTGCGGCTTAAATTTTCATTTACATATATTTGAACTCATAGAGATTGAAATGAAAGAGAAGCCCTATTTCAATTTGATTTCTGTGGTTCCTTTTTTGCTAGCATTTTTGTGTGATTCAGCATGCTTTTTGGGTACTTATGCAGTATATTTATATTCTTGAAGTATCTCCATGTACCCAACACCTGCACATTTTATATCCAATGTACTTTTTAGCATATCTTATTCTACCTGTAACAGTTAACTAACTTTTTCCTTATTTACAAATGTATCAGCTCATAGACATATTGGAGAGACAAATATGAATTTGTACAGTAGTAGGTCCCATACGATTTTCCGCATGGTAATAAGTGTTATCAGAGATGGTAATTTTTTTTCTTATTTCGTTAAATGCTTGCAATTAACACCTTGTGGTTAATAGATAATTGAGAGTAAGGATAGAAGCGAAGATGAAGAAAGTGGCAGCTCTTGTGATGCTGTGCGTGTATCAGTGTTGGTAGGTTCATGTCACTTTTTCAATAATCAAGTAATCTCTCTTAAGGGAAAAGTTTTTCCTTTTTGTTAGTTGACATTCACATGCATTTATCTTTTTCTCTTCTATATAAGTGACTATTTTTGTGTAATTTTTCATATTGGTAATAGTTATCTTCTTATTTCTAGAATTTAGTGGATCTTGCTGGGTCAGAACGTGCTGCAAAAACTGGTGCTGAAGGTGTTCGACTCAAAGAAGGTTCTCACATAAACAAAAGCTTAATGACTTTGGGAACCGTAATTAAAAAACTGAGTGAAGGTGCTGAAAGTCAAGGGTATGTTTAAATGATTATATTTAGGTTTTTTTTTATTTAAATTTTGGAATGAGTTAAAAAGAAAATGTAATATTTTGTGCAGGGGTCATGTTCCATATCGAGATAGCAAGCTGACTCGAATTTTGCAACCTTCTTTAGGAGGAAATGCTAAAACTGCTATTATCTGTAATATCACACTTGCACAGGTAAGGTATTCCTGTGTTTCACACTGATAAATTAGATAACCGTACACTACCATGTTTTAATTGCAATAATTGGCTTCATTGGCTTGGAGATACAATATTGTAAGGTGTTTTGTATATCACTTGATTAATATCCATCTAATCAAAGGATTAATTTTCCCAGCTATAACTGGTCAAAAAGATCGGTATCCTGTATTCTTTTCTGTGAAGGTCTATAAAAATTTTCCTTTAATAGTCTTTTCATCTAACATTTTCTATATGGCAGATACATACAGATGAAACTAAAAGCAGTCTTCAATTTGCAAGTAGAGCATTGCGTGTCACAAATTGTGCTCAAGTGAATGAGGTTTCATCTGACCCATTTCCCTTGTTTGTAGGGCTATTTTATTTTGATGTTGTTCTTTATTTTTGTATTGCTTGCCATTTCAAAGTAGTTTTATCTTTGTTACTTTCTCTTCTCTATAATAAAGTTGTTCTTCATAGCACATACATTTTCTTTGTATCATCCCTTACAGGCAGGTTCAATTATTCATATAGATGCTCATACACTTTACTTTAGCAGTGCAGTTCTGCCTTGTCTTATTTTGTATGATTTTTTCACTGTGTTTTTGCTAACAGATTTTGACAGATGCTGCTTTATTAAAGCGCCAAAAGAAGGAGATTGAAGATCTTCGTGCCAAATTGATGGTGGGTCTATTTTTCAGTTATTTTATATTTGACGAGCATAAAGTAAACAAAACAATTAGTTCCTGAAGTGTTGGCATAATTGTATTTTGGTATTTTCTTTAGGGTTCTCATTCAGAGCATTTAGAGAAGGAGATTCTGAGCCTACGAAATACATTATTACAGGTGTATGAATTTTCCGTTGTGTTAATTATAAAAAGGTTTTTGTGTATTTTGTATGTTACAATGTTTATCTTGTCAGACTGAACTGGAAAGGGAACGCATAGCTTTGGAATTAGAGGAGGAAAAAAAAGCTCAAGCTGAATGGGAAAAAAGAGTAAAGGAGCAAGCCAAGAAAATTGAAAATTTGAGCTCAATGGTTTTGTTTTCAAATAGGGATGAAAGTCGTGAGCATATCAAAAGGGTATTACTAAGCCTTCCATGTCTTTTTTTAATTTTTTTCTAGATCATTTGAAACTAATTTCCTATGTTATGGATCCTATAAATAAAGCATTAAATGCTATACTATTCTATCAATTTTCATGCCTTCAGTTTATGCCACAATTTTTCTGTTTCTTCCAACAATTCTTGTATTAATACTACTGTTTCTAATAATTGTACTACTAGCAGTGCCTATACTTGGAACCTTAGGTTAGGACATCCTGATATCAATGTTCCACGTTACGAATTGTAGTATTTCCTTTTCTAATAAAAGTTCTCTGCCCTTTTGTTTTGCTTGTTGTATGGGCAAAACACATAAACTTTCTTCTCAAGCTTTATCAATTATCTATAAATCTTCTTTTGAGTTAGTACATAGGGACTTGTGGGGACCTTCCCCTATTCCTTCTTCTAATGGCTTCTCCTATTACATTTCTTTTGTGGATGCTTACTCACGGTGTGCTTGGATTATCTTCTCAAACAAAAAATTGAGCTCTTTCTATTTTTCAGCAATTTAAATCTATAGTTTAGGTACAATTTAACAAATCTATTGAAGTTGTTCAAATTGATTGGGAAGGAGAATTTCTCCCTTTTACTACATATCTCAAATATTTAGGTATTACCCGTAGAATCATTTGCCCTCATACCCAACATAAAAAATAAGCATCACTATATTATTAACATGGATCTTACTTTACTTAGTCATGCATCTCTTCCCTTATCCTGTTGGGACCATGCCTTTGCTACTGCTATTTTTCTTATAAATAGATTGCCTAGTGCTCCTCTTAACTTTCATGTTTCGTACACTATTATATTCAAAACAACACCGGTTTATAACTTTCTTAAAGCTTTTGGGTGTGCTTGTTTTCTTCTTCTTTTTCTTAAATGCTACAACTCTCATAAACTTGAATTTATATCTCAAAAATTTCTTTCTTGGTTAATCCACATCATGCAAAGGATATAAATGTTTATCTTCCTCTGATAGTTTATACATTTCTCTGGAAAATTAGATTAAATGAAATCTTATTTTATTATTTTAATACAAAGAGATCATACAAGATATATACAGGAGACCTAAGCTATTTTAGGAAATATAATAACTCTATTTTATTTTAGGATCCCTTGATTTATGGGATTGTTCCTAATTGTTCAAATTTGTACAGATTACAAATTTCCTAATTTATTCTTTCCTAAAATACTATTTGATTTCCCACACTCCCCCTCAAGCTGGTGAATAGGTGTTTTTCATTCCTAGCTTGGATATAATCTTTTCAAAATTGTGACAGCTCAGTCTCTTGGTAAGAATGTCTGCAATTTGGTCTTGAGAGGACACATATGGAGTGCATATCAAGCCATTATCAAGCTTTTCTTTGATGAAGTGTCTGTCTACTTCAATATGCTTTGTTCTATCATGTTGCACTGGGTTGTGGGCTATGCTGATTGCTGACTTATTATCACAATAGAGCTTCATAGGTTCTTCCCATTTTATCCTCAAGTCTTCTAAGATGATTTTAAGTCATAGCAACTCACATATACCTTGTGCCATGGTTCGGAATTCCGCTTCAGTACTGGACCGAGCCACTACACCCTGCTTTTTGCTTCTCCAAGTCACAAGATTTCCTACAAGAAAGGTGCAATATCTTGTAGTTGACCTCCTATCCACAATTGACCCTGCATAATCAACATCAGTATAGACTTCAAGCTTCATATTACCATTCCTTTTAAATAGAATCCCTCTTCCTAGAGTTCCTTTAAGGTACTGTAAAATTCTGTGGGCTGCTTATAAATGGGTCTCCTTTGGGTTTTACATATATTGGCTAATTACACTCACTACATAGGCAATATCTGCCTGGTATGCGACAAATATATAAGTTTGTCCACTAATCGCTGGTACATATCTTTTTCAACAACAACATCTTTTTCTGCATTTCCAAGCTTTAGGTTTGGTTCTAATGGGGTACTAGCAGGTTTGCAAGCTGCCTTGCCAGTTTCCTTGAGCAAATCAGTGATGTATTTCTGCTGGGATATAAATATCCCTTTCTTGGAATGGACAACTTCAATTCCCAAAAAATATTTTAGTTTTCCCAAGGTCTTGATCTCAAATTCCTTGCCTAAGCATTGACTCAACAATTGCTGCTCTTCTTTATTATCTCCAGTTAATATTATGTCATCCACATACACCAATAATATTGTTACTCCCCCTGACTTGGAATGTTTAAAGAACAAAGTATAGTCCCCTTGGCTTTGTTTGTAACCCAGACCTGTCATAACTTTAGTAAACTTGCAAAACCATGCACGGGGGGACTGTTTTAGCCCATATAATGCCTTTTTCAACTTGCAAACAGTGTTGGCAACAACATCTCTACCATATCCCGGAGGTATCTCCATATAAATTTCTTCTTCAAGGTCTCCATGTAGGAAAATATTCTTAACATCAAATTGTTCCAAGTTCCAACCATAATTGGAAGCAAGGGACAATATCATCCTAACTGTGTTCATTTTGGCAACCGGAGCAAAGGTCTCCAAATAATCAACTCCATAGGTTTAGGTGAACCCTTTGGCAACTAATCTTGCCTTATATCTTTCAATTGATTCATCAGCCTTGTATTTCACTATATAGACCCACTTACATCCAATTGGCCTCTTTCCTATTGGTAAGGTGACTAACTCCCAGGTGTTGTTTTTCTCCAATGCCTCCATCTCTACATCCATGGCTTGCCTCCATTTTCTGTTAGACAATGCTTCAGATAGGGTATTAGGTAGAAGTACAGTGTTTAGGTTTACTAGGAAGGTTTTATGGGTAGGAGAGAAATTTTTAAAGGACATGTAATTTGAGAGAGGGTAGAGTGGTTGTTTGGTGCATTTTCTTGTCCCTTTTCTAATGGTAATTGGGAGGTCAGGATCATTTTGGGTTTCAATTTCAACCTGCACAGCTGGAGAAAAAATTGTTACCTCTTTTTATGGAATCGAGTTGGATTCTTGAACATGGCTTGATCCTGGAATGGCCTTAGTCTTCCTTGAGTACACCAGCTTCTTACCAAATTTTTCAGCTTCAACATCTTCTTGATCAGTTTCATAATTAATTTCACTTTCTTGACCAACTTCCTTTTCTTGACCAATTCCTTGACTTGTTTCACTTGTTACAGTTTCAATTTGATCTCGTTTAGGTTCAAATATCAAGCCTGGAAGAATGGGAGAACTAGAATTACTATTTTCCTTATCTTCCCTGAAACTCTACCCTCCCCTTGAAGATAAGGTTGATGGAAATAGCCCTCTTGTTCATTGAAGGTAACATTCCTAGACACAAAGAATTTTTTGGATGAGGGGTGGTAGCATTTACACCCTTTCTGAGTGGGTGAGTAACCAACAAAGACACACTTTAAGGCTCTAGGATCAAGTTTTCCCCTGTCTGTACTATGAATATGGACATATGAGATGCACCAAAAAACTTTTGGTTTAAGATTATTTGCAGTGGACAGGTTTGGATAGAAAGACGACAAAGCTTCTATAGGGTTTTTTGATCATAAAACTCTAGAGGGTAGTCTATTGATAAGGTATGTTATTGTAAGGACAACTTCTCCCCAGAAATTTTTTGGGACACTTTTTTGGAACAACAATGCCCGAGTCTGATTTAATAGATGTCCATTTTTTCTCTCTGCAACCCCATTCTGCTGTGGTGTTTTGACACAAGAGGACTCATGAATTATATCTTCTTTTTGACAAAAAGAATTAAGGACATGATTGAAGTAATCTTTAGCATTATCTGACCTAAGCCTCTTAATATTAACGCCAAACTGATTTTTTTCAAGGAGTGGAAGTTTAGGAAGACAGAACTGACTTCTGATTTTTGTTTAAGTAGGAAAACCCAAGTGACCCTTGTACATGACAAATCCTTTATAAGTTTTTGTATAGACATTAGGTTGATGGACAACTTTGGGATATGGAGAACATCTTTTAAGGTTCTTAAAGGATTGATTTGGATATTTCCTTGACCAGCTACAGTTATAAGGGTTCCATCTATGTGGTAATTTTCTTGTTGCTGGGACATAGGGAATATCTGGAGAAGTGTTTGGCTAATGGTGTCATATGGTCTGTGGCTCCAGAGTCCAATATCCAATAATGGTTAAAAGGTGTATCTGAGACATTTAATCCAAAAGAAAGTGGAAACTTACTTGAGTATGCCAAAGATCACACACCTGTAGGTTTTTCTAGCTTACTAAGAAAGGTTCTCACCCTTTCTATCTCCTCTTGGTTAAGATGGACAGCAGCTTCTGGATTATTTCCTTCATTTGTTTCAACAGCAACATAAACATGTCCTCCTTTCCTTAAGGAGCCTCCTCTGGGGTCCTCTTCTTGATCTCGATTTAAAGGCTTCCCATGTAACTTCCAGCATTTCTCTCGAGTATGACGAGGCTTATTGCAGTAGGTACACCAGAGACCATCACCTTTCTTCTCCACATTTGCTAATCCTCCTTTCTTTTGTTCGGTTACCTCCTTTCTATTCAACACTGTACGAACAAGTTGGACCCACTTCAAATAATTTCTTCCATTTAGTCTATATGCAGAATGGATATTATGCAATTCTCCAGATTGCTGGGATTAGATATTCCCCGTTTCTGGGGTTGGGTTCACAACTTCCTCTTCCCTTGACATTATAGCAAGAAGGTGCGATGCAACAACAATGTAGGCTGTCGTCTTAGGGTTAAGAAAAATGCAGCAGCAATGCAGGCTGTCGTCTTAGGGTTTATAGTGCGCAGACAGAACTTCCTAGATCGGAAGCTCTGATACCATCTGGAAAATTAGATTAAATGAAATCTTATTTTCTTATTTTAATACAAAGAAATCATACAAGATATATACATGAGACCTAAGCTATTTTAGGAAATATAATAACTCTATTTTATTCTAGGATCCCTTGATTTATGGATTGTTCCTAATTGTTCAAATCTATACAGATTACAAATTTCCTAATTTATTCTTTCCTAA